GCTCATTCACGAAGTTATGGGAAATCGGACGTGCTTATCACTGCTGACCCACCAGGGGCAAGATAACGCCGTTGTGGCCAGCTGTGAAACCTGGGTACGGGGTGGGATATGAAACACGGAAGCACGGGCGGGCATGGTTTGACGGCGAAGTCAGTCATTGGAATAGGGAAACCTACGTCTAAGCACGGAAAGCACTGTGAAACGGCAGACGGGGTACGGGGTGCGGGACATGCGGGTGAGGCGCTCTAGACCCGTTGCCAGAAACGAAATTTTAACCACGCAACATTGTACTTCATCGGTTTTCAAAGGAATCATACCAATATTCAGCAAGTAGCTCCATCAAGGTAGTACACTGCGAACAGCGGTGGACTGGCGGATAGGAGGCGCAAGAGGCGTGGTGCTGAAAATGAAGTCTTGAACACATAAGCAAGAACGGACTCAGTTTCTAAAATTGATTCATGTCGACGTTCATGTAAGAGGTGGACTGGCGACTAGGAAGCACAGGAGACGAGGTGCTGTAAAGGTAGGCTTAATGCTATCACTACGGACTTACTCGTTTTCCAAAGGTACTCATGTCGACAATCATATATGACGTGTTTCAAGGCGGCACCCAGCAAACAGCGATGCAATGGCAGACAAAAGGCACTGGGGCCATGGTGCTGGAAAGGCAAGTATGTTTCAGATGACCGTGCAGCCAGATAATAAAGGAAGCCAACTGCGAACTGATATCCGATAAACCCAAGTGCCAAAGCGCTGGTACGTTCATTAGCATACTTTGTAATCTTCCGATTGACAACTCCTGGGTGCCTTTCATCGGTGAGGTCAATGGAATATCAGTTAAGCCATAGGAGTTATTGGGATATAGCAAACCACTGAGTACATCCTGGGTAAGCAACGACACTGACAGCATCTAGGAATCACTGGACGCCAATGGTTCTGCTATCCAGACCCCGGCTTTAAATAACAGTTTGCAGGTGATATCTGTCAGTGTTAGCAGCCCCAAAAGTACTCTCAAGAGATTTCTCTTCTTAGTACTTATCATCCGCCAGATCTCATGACTCACACCGATATTTGGTTATAAACACAAATACAGGACGCTGAGATTAGCATATCAAGACATCAACTGCCATGGGCAGGTCCCTCCAGCGGACAAGATGAGGTCGTATTCATCCACTACAAGGGTCCGCCCTCAATGTATACCTTAGCTAAGCTCTCTGCGACAATGACGGATCATCAGAGCTCCTGTGGTGCAGAATTCATGACCGTTATCAGCTGCACACGGTCGGTGTGCCTTACAGAGCACCACTTAGCTCGGGCGTCCGTCCTATACAGTCGGTGGAAACCAATCGCCGAGGAAGTAAGAAATAAATAAATAAATGGTTTATTCCTTGAATTTGTCTTATATTTGGCGACTCAATGTACCCAGTGTAAACTTGGACGTTTCTCACTGTGAACCTTACCAAAATTCCCTCTGGAACTTTTCAGAACTCCGCTCACATCACCTGTCCGCCGGCTAATGGAGCATGGGTTTCCAGTTACCTGTCCTCTCTTAAAATCGGAATGCGACTTGCTAGAAGTAGTTCAGCTGCGTTGCTGGAAGTCCGTCATAGAGCGCCGTGGCCTGGCTTGCCTTCTTCGACTCAAAAAGCTAAACACAATCCATTTGGATTAGCCTGGTTGCTGTGGAGATCATATTAACACTAGACGGATCCTATAAACTTCAGCAGCCTTGTTTAGCAGCAAATAGTGGTCCATGCACTTCTGCATATATCCGGAGTTTCCTCAGAGCCACTCTCTTATATCTCCAACCTTCATTCATTGGGACTGTCTGCGACACATACATTTGCTGCTTTTCGACTTATTTTGGGACACTGTAGGTATCCACTAGAAACTAGAGGCTTCATCCACATGCCACTGCTGATCACTGATACTCTCACTACTAGCGCCATTATCTGTTCTTCGTCTTACCTCTGTTTAGCAGCAGCCATTTTTCGTAGGCTCCAACCATCTCTGCGCATACCTGGAGCCTGCCGAGAGTCACTCTTTTATTCCTCCAACCTTTACTCTCTGGGACTGTCTGCGTCACATACATTTGCTGCTTTTCGGCTTATGCTGGGACACTGTAGGTATCCACTAGCAACTAGAAGGCTTTACGAAAATACCATTGCAAGCCGTCGATACTCTCTCTCCCTTAGTACCATTGTCAGTTCTTCATATTACCTACGCCACCACTTTTCAGCTGCAGCGGTTCATTGTAGGTAGCACACATCTTTGCGCTAGTAGCCACTCCTTATCTCTCCAACTCTTGTTGGATTGTTTGTATCACATACCTACGCTGGTTCCCTGATTTATCCTGTCACTGTAGGTATCCACTAGTAATCAGAAGGCTTAATCCGAGTGTCACTGCTGGCCACTGATACTCTCTGTCCTAGCGCCGCACTTTGTCGCTGCTCTTACCTTCCTCACCACTTAGCAGCGATTCGTCTTTGGCGCCATGCTCCCTCCGCGCAGAACTTGAACTCGCTAGGATACACTCCTTTTCTGTCTATAATACATTCTCTTGGAATGTCTGTATCACTTACCTTTGCTGGCTTGTTGATGCATTCTGTGACCCTGTGGGCATACACTAGTGACCAAGTGTCATATTGGAATGGCTACATCTGGCCACTGGTTGTCTTTCCTAGCGCCACCATCTGTCGATCGTCTCAAATTCGGCACCGCTGTTTAGGAGCAGCTAGTGTTCGTAGGCCCCATGTATCTGCAATTATCTAGAGCTTGTTAAGAGCCACTCCTTATTTCTAACACCTTTATTCTCTTGGAATGACTGCATCCAATCTTTCCGCTGCCTTATCACCACTTGACCTTTGGATCTATCTCGCGGCAAGCTATTCATTTTATAAACTTTCTTATTCTGCGCTTCCTAGCGTAGTAGGCTGGCTACGTGCTGTTCGTTCACCATTCAATCATTACTAGTCTTTCAACTTACTTTTTTCTCTCCTGACGCAACTTTTGCTTCATAATAAGCTGACACTTCGTGGATTATTAACTGGTACAACACTCTTTTCTACGTAGACGTTGGCCATCTACCCATCCGTCTACTGATTTTATAAGACATTCAATAGGCACTTTCAGCATAACCATTGGTGCATCGTGTAAACAATTTTGTCTCAACTCCAACTGTTGTAACATAAAACTTTAACAATATTTAACTCCACGCCCGTTCTTGCGGTCTTCTTTCGGTTGTCCATCACTTAGCCCTTTTCACCGAAGTCCGGAACCTCTTGGAGACCTGGGATTGGACTGAGGAACAGATTTCGCCTGAAGGACGTAATAACCGACAAGGACCTACATGGAGCATGGCGGTATACCAAAAGACTCCACTGCAATCACCATCACAACCGTTGTCCAGTATGGAGAGCTGGACACATCTTCACCCTCCCACAAAGTATACATCTGAAAACTCCAGACAACAAAGTTGGAAACTTTACTCACCTGGACACACAACAAGCCAACTATTAGTAATGTTTCCATCCTCAACCAGCAGCAACAATTATGGCGGCCTTGATCAAACTATCTGTCCAGCCAACAGAGGAAATTGGAAGCCATTCGACTGCGAATAACCGAATATGAGATCAGTCGTCAAGCGGATTTGCCAGTTTACATCAGTGTTCAAAATGCTTTACGGCGGTGTTGCAGGACGTGGTGGGTTTTTGCCTGGCAAGCGATCGCCCTATAAAAGGGCACAAATGCCTGTTTAACAACACTGCGACGTGGCGGATGTGACTCGCCACAGAATAAAGACACTGCCCACAACTACATACTGGCAAGTAAACTAGGCACATAGTTCAACTTTTCTCGACACTTGCAAGGATATGATACCTTCCGACTACATGTGCCGTTTCACTGCACGTATGGTGCCTTGACGGCTTGCACTACACACGACTGTTGCCAAAGCACCGCTGTGATATTCAGCTGCTTATAAACCTCGATCATGCCTGAGTTGCTGTGTCATTATGATTTGAGAATAAAATATTTATTTACTTATTTATCTATTAGGATAACATGGCAGTGAGGTACAGAAGCACTTCGGTCTGAAGGTTGACGTCTGCATACGAGGCCGCAAATGGAAGGCGTACTAGAGTCGATTATTTCACGTGTGTCCGATGGCTGCGCTAATAATTTCCATAGTGCATGCTGCTTCGCAGCTAGTTGCGTCCAAACCCGCACTGAATCAGAATAGACGGAGCTGATTGCAGTCTCGCTTTCTGCTCTGTACACACGAATGCACCAATGTTTCCGCATGTTCTGCAACCTCAACGCAATTCTCTTTTGTCAAGTTGCCCATTCCCTTAAAAGCGGTTCCTGGTTGCATGTAACCCCACCGGAACTTTACGTTCGTTATTGCGTTGTGATGTATCCGTACCTAACTGGAATGTTTAGCACGCGTCAGCCATATTATCACCGTAATCGGGTGAGGGCCAACACGTGGATTCCATACGGGATTCCCGAAAATGCAGTACAAATGAAACGTCTGATCAGGAGGCTCATAAAATGGATGGTATAGCCGGATGGATTGTAATCCTACCGCATGCAACCACACGTTAAATTCCACAAACCATTCCGACCAGCGAAGCCGGAAATGGCGCAAAGGTACGGCAATACCTACAATACACACAATGTAAATCGGGCCAGTATTCCTGGCAGGCGACGACATCTTAACCCATAAGTTTCGTTATGTGGTCCTCAACATGCCGTACAAAACGGCGATGTCCGATGACGCGGCGCATGGTCTCAGAACGGAGTGTCCGATATATACCGCCAAGTGTGCAAATGTACTCAAAAGTGGGCTAAAGTCAAAGCGTGATAATCACACTTGCTGCCGTTATCTTCGTAAGGTTGCAAACGGGACAACCTGTGTAAGGAAGCATTTACCAAGTTTAACGGCGCAACCTAATGATTGTAAAACGCATACAAGGGATATCATCCAGCCTGTTAGGGCGATGTGTCCACGAAGTAAGCATAGCAGCCTTCATTTAGGTGCGGGGGTAAGTGAAGCAAAAGATGTGTGACCATTGCCTACACATACCCTTCCGGGGGAACTCATCGCACGAGGACAAGTATTCTTATGCAGTGCCTACCGTAAGTTAAGTTGAGGGTATGTTAGTCGACTGCCTGCGCGTTATCCCATCCAAAAATCACTGAAAGGGCGCCTGAATTGCAATTTCCGTTAACATTCAGCTTACTACTTGGCTCCCATTAATACGGAATTTCTCTCACAACGTTAGGCTTCCGTTCACAGACGGTAGTACATGCAGCTGTGCTCCTCTTTGCTTTTATATGCCACACAATTCTAATGGAACCGGCGTTGGCATACGTAAAACCAAACACACAGAACCTCATTATCCATGGATGCGTCATCCTCCTCCCTCAGAAAAAAAGCGCAAAGGAAGTCGTTGCTCTGGTGGCCAGCCCTGTCCTCTGAAGCTTCATAACATGCAAGACAATGGAGGACGAATCACGCAATATCGCAATTAGGCAGCAGTCCTGACGGTCCACTGCCGTCGCTCATGGCTCAGTGACCTAAGTCGCTGACTCGTAGGAGTAAGGCCGTGGGTTGGAATCCGGCATGATTCTGCGGGTACGCGCTACCGAGGAGTCCAATATGGAAGGAAAGGCCACCTAATGCTTTCCTGGATGTGTGGGGCTGCCTGCCTGTGTCTAACTGCGACAAACCTACACAAAACCTAACAACTCTCCTACTACTTACCAATAATTAATAGTCGCCTTAACAGCATACATGCCACCTCGGCCGGTGGCGGCTTTCATAGGAAGTCGTTGCCCTCGAACCAGCCCTGTCCTCTACACAAACATGTCACGCAAGGCAGTGGAGGGTGGGCCGCGCTGTATCGCAGTTAGGAAGCAATTGTAGCAGTCCGCTGCCATCGCCCAAGGCTCAGTGATATAAGTCGCGGACCCGCAATGGTGAGATCGTAGGTTCGAATGCGGCAGCATTCGGCGTTGCGCGCACTGAGGAATTCCAGTGGGACAAAACGATCGCCTAGCGCTTTCCTGGCAGTTTGGTGATTATCTGCCTGTGTCAAACTGCGACGTACCTACACAAAAGGCGCATATATTTATTACGGACGGCTCCGGTGTACTCGGTCTCCTTTTCCAACTTTAAAACCGCCGGACGTGGTGGTGCCGAGAAGCCTAAATTTCAATGGACATACCGAGCTGCATTGAGCAGGAACCTCCGTCACTTGTAGTTGAATAGGAGGCTTCCGTTTGGCGTAGCCAATCAACGCAGGTTTCCTGGCATCCCTGCCGTGTCCACTGACAAAACATCCCCGTGCACTTCGAGTACAGCAACTTCATGCTGCTCGGAGCTTGTGCTTGGCATACTCTTCTCATCAGTTGGCAGTCCACATCTCGCCGTTCTGTGGCACGCGTTTCCCATTAACCGATGGTAGTCGTCATCCACGTCCAGCGGAATAGGTTCACTATAGTGTCTCGTAGTGCAGTAGCGGGTGACATCACCATCCTTGGACCTCAGCTCAGCTAGCCGCTTCAGTCTCCTCAGTACCATGTCATACCGTACCGATCAAAGACTTCAATCCTGCATTTTTAATTCCGCCAGCACCTCCTTTGCCTTGCGAAATTTAGTCTCCCTGTCCACCGCGCGTGGCTCGAGCACCTCTCCCGCGTCAACGAACGTAACAGCATTAACTCCCGCAGCCTCTGGGGACAGGTCAACCGACCGACTGCATGGAGAATTCCATCTGCAATCCGCTACAATACTGGCCATCGGCATTCCCTTCCTGGCTTTCACGTAACACATGTTGGCACACAGCATTCGTCATTGCAGATGAACTTCACATTCGCAAGTGTCAGCAATCACTTGATATCGCAGCCTCTCTAAAGCACGGGTGTATTCTTCCACCCAGTGTGTGCCCGCATCATCCAACGTGGTTTTCCCTTCCTTGCTTCAGTGCCTCAGCAACGGTTTACGAACGTAAGGAAGAAACCGAGTCAATATGGGGGTTTCTGTGGACAGCTCCACAGGGGGAACATACGGCGTTGCACTGTGCTCCCCATCGCCATTTGCCGGTCTTACATTCACGAGCAGACTCGCTCAATAATCACAGTGAATAACGAGCTGATAGACGATTGCTCAGTCAACTCTTTCTTCAGATGTTTATTTTCATGCTCCAACCTTTTCGTCGTCGCGCAACCAAACAAACATACCGCACGCTGAAGGTGAGCCGCCCATGAGGATGCCTATGAAGGACATGTACGTCGCATGTACCGGTACAATTCCTCACTCTTGCCTGCAATCGCTCTCAGAACCCTGCTGAAATGTCCACCATCGCTTGTGTATATCAAAATATCAGCCTCTGTCGAAGAAGGTTTCTCACCTCTGGGTCTAGGCCAGCAAGTTGTGCGCACCATCGGTACATATCCCGCATTACATGAAAACGGCAAAATAAAACCGCCGCTTTGGGATACGCAGACGTCAGCGCGCCAACCTGCGCCATGCACTTGTCCATAACAAGTGTTTGTAACGACGCTGTACAAGGCAACATCCCCTTCATCGCTTCCACTGCCAGTCTGTAGCTGTGAGTGGTCTCATTTGGCAACAACGCGTAAAAAATGAATATGCAGTTCGGCTAACATATATTAACATAAAAGGCCAGAGTACATAGCCACTATAATTCAACAGATGCGCTGCATCGGCCAAAAAAGCCTCACAGCAGCGCGCAGCTAGTGATTCCATGCAAGACGCACGAAAAACACATATCTCACCTTGCTTCCCTCTCTCACCACCTGACATGTGCCGTTCTTCTCCAGCAGTTCCGTCACTTTTCATACTTTCCGCCTGCTGCTTCTGATGACGCCTTGTCACGGTCTTTATATTGTCCATCCCCAACACTTGCCCGTGCTTCCGGTTCATGTGACGACGAACCTCACGGCGGTTTTTAAACACTGACGTCAGGCTCAACTTCTTGCTCCTCAGCTTCCGTCAACTGCCGATTCCGGGAATACAGCCACGGAGTGCCCAAATGAAAATCATGGTTATGCCGCAGATCAATTTAACCACGCTCGTAATCATCACTACACACCACCAAGGAAAACCTGGCTTCGCAGCCCAGCATCCTATAACTGTTTGGTCATTTTAGATCATTAACAATAAAAACTTACCGTTTACCACGAACGTTGCTCCGCTTACCATGCACACCCTGATACTGCACATAATGGTAAGAATAAGAATCAGGCAAATCCTCTCCGTTCATCCGCTTGTACGGATTTCTAGTAACCACTGCCATTCTTATAAAAGGAAGCCGCAGTAGCCTGTTGAAATTTCTTCACATCCGTCTGCAAATGTTCGGGAATATAATCTCACCAAACGATTAAACGTAGCAAGGTCGTCCACCATGATGACAACTTTCAATGATGCACCACAGTTCATAAATACACTTCGTTATCCAATTGAACAAAAACAGCAGTGTTAAAATTCACGTTTTATTTTACCACGTATACTAACTTCCCATGAATCTCCACAACAGTAGGTGCTAAGTAGAAGATTGAAAGCTTGTTGTTGCGGACAGCGTGCTACTGTGCCTCGGTAAAGGAATGCGAAGCTTACATTGGGATATAAGCTCTATTAACGTAGACTTAATTGTTATGGGTTGCAACCCTGACATGGTTTTACATTAGTGTCACCATAGTTTGAATTCACCATAAACTGCTTTGGCGGGTTCAGTCACTGTCCTGGCTGTCGACGCTACCGCTGCTTTCAGCGCTATCTTCCTTAAGCGTATGTACAGCACTCTTGAGAATTTCTAAAGTGACTTTAAGCGCTTCCAAATGCGAACTGCCTCATGCTTTTCCAAATCGGTTGTCCTATCACCTGAGGCGTATCGGAAGCGAACCGATAAAAAGTTGCATGAGGGTGTACAGTACAGATCCGGACACCAAAATGCCTTCACTGCCGCCGGTAACTTGACATTGAAACTTTATGAAACGGTTTTGAACTGTAGGTATAAAAGTTATGATTCCAAGGCCAAGATCCTCATACGGCTTAAAGGCTGGTGCTGCGATATAGTGTCCTTCAGCGTTGTGCCCAGCCATACCTTTCATGAGGGAAAGCCGTTTCTCTATGTGTGCAACCACGTGACCATTTCTGCATATCCTTTCGATGTGTTCTAGCTAAGAGTCATCAAGCTACCTCTAAGGCATGTCCAACTATCTGGCGGGCAGACTTTAACACAATGCGAGACAAGGCTTCAGTTCTGCGTTGCGCAACCACCATCGCTGACATCGTTGAGACAGCCCGGGGCAAGTTAAGGTATACCTCACCAAGATCTCTGCTCCCCGCACCCCCTCAGTAAAAAACGCGTGACGCAGGCGCGGCCACCTTGTATAGACCACACAGGTAAATACCTGCTCAGGAAGCGCTCTAAATGCTGGCGATCTGAAAAAGCGGCTTCATCAACCAGCACCTAAGAAAGCCATCGTGCGTTTAGGAATAAACATAAGTAACATCTTAGAACTCTTTGTCTTCAGTACGAGGAGGAGTTGGCTAACGCAGCGGTAACAAATCCAAGGAAGTTCATCGCTTACGTAAAGAGGCGCGGCGGTACAAACTCGTCTATACAGGTTTAGTACGAGAGGAAGGTACCCATGGGAATACCGAATATGATAATGCTTGTATACTTAGCAAGCAGTATACTAGTACATTTTCTCGTGAGCCTTCTCTAACAGGTTGAGCTGTTCACAAAAGCCCCAGAGGATACTTGCCTAACTGAAGTAAGCATGATGGAGACACGAGTCTTCGGGATTTTGCAGAGACTAATTCCTTCTAAAGTTACTGACCTCGCTTCAATTCACCTGAAACTGCTGCGTGCATTGGCCGCTGAGCTGACATGCATGTATACAATATCACTCAACAGCTGCGCCCTACCTTCGGAATGGAAGACGGCAACCATCTGTCCGCTCTTTAACAGCGGTGACAGAGCTCGGCCAGCGAACTACCTTCCTGTCAGTCTAACAAGCGCAGTAGTTAGGTCGTTTGAAATATTGGTCAGGGATTCCGTGGAGACGAGTCTGATAAATTTTAAAATTCACAGTGTGGCACAGCACGGATTCTGTAGGGGTTCTTCATGTCTGACAAATTTACTTTATCTCGTGTAAGCTGGGCTAAGGCAGTTGACAACGATCAGGCTATCGATGTGCTTTTCGTTGACTTCTCGAATGCTTTTGCTACTTTCCCACATCAACGACTCACATTGAATGTGATATCGTATGGGATATCCGGAGCCGCTCTTAAATGGGTCACCGCTTTCCTAGAGGAAAATACCGTTTGTACGCGTGGGAGGTAACGTTTGGCTTAAACAAGCTTAGCTTGGCGGCGTTCCGCAGGGCGCGGTTCTAGGGCCGTTGCTTATCGCAGTATGTCAATGACCTACCCCAGACGTATGGGGGGGGGGGGGGGGGGGGGGGGGGGGGGGGGGGGGGGGGGGGGGGGGGGGGGGGGGGGGGGGGGGGGTGGGGGGGGGGGGGGGGGGGGGGTGGGGGGGGGGGGTGGGGGGGGGGGGGGGGGTGGGGGGGGGGGGGGGGGGGGGGGGGGGGGGGGGGGGGGGGGGGGGGGGGGGGGGGGGGGGGGGGGGGGGGGGGGGGGGGGGGGGGGGGGGGGGGGAGGGGGGGGGGGGGGGGGGGGGGGGGGTGGGGGGGGGGGGGGGGGGGGGGGGGGGGGGGGGGGGGGGGGGGGGGGGGGGGGGGGGGGGGGGGGGGGGGGGGAGCTGACTTTGTGTTTTGACTGCACTTGCGTCCCTAGCTGCATGTTGACAGTTTCATGTTCAGCATTCTCTCATCGATTTGTGGTCTGGTGTCTATCGAATTTATACTTATTTCGTATAGCAGTTTCTTGTACATTTTGAGTTACGTTTTCATCGTCTTGTCCGTCATGATTTGTATTGCCATTTGGATTTATTAACTTTGGACCGTCTCCTTTGTTTTAGGCGATGATGGCAACCGTAAAATCGAATTAGTGATCGCATTTTTCAGTGCAAGTACTTCACAGATGAGACACCATTTATCAAAATCTTGTGCTTGAAAATCTAGCTCGTTTGGAGTCTAAATATAGGGACATCATGGACAAGAAGCACTTTTATTTCACTTTGTTTGCGGTAGTCCTCCGAATTTAGTTTGCGTTTCTGGAGTTTACTCCGTAGAACTTTTGAAACGAATTGTAACAGTGCACTGAGTATTTCTGAGGCGAGTTACTAACAATAGAACAGCCTCTGCATCATCACCTGACCAAAGCTTTGCTTTGCGTGGTCGTGGTTCACCGAATTGTTTTGGGCTTGAATGATATACGAGGTGCATCATGCTCTAGGGCTTATCTCCGACACCGATTAATTGACACGGCGTCCTACGGCTTTTGATCCTGCAGCAGCTTGCAGTTGATGGGGTTTGCCTCGGATTCAGACAAATTTGAGCATATGACATTATGGGAGTTATAAAGCCGTGTAGTGTTCTTCTTTTTTGGGTAGGGTGTGGCAGCTCTGCTTGGTCGGACAACTGACTGCATATTCGGTCGTATTAATAGCTATAGCTGCGTTTTGTTTAGCAACGACCAAGCTTACTTTACTGTGCTTCTGTCTTGTTGTTGGCAACATTGAACGAGTGTGTTGTTTATCCCTCAGAATCTTTGTATCTACGGCCAGAATTTGACGAAGTACTTTGTCCGAACGGATCATTACAAGCAGCCTCCTGTCCATGATTGAAGTCAAAGTGCTTGGGTGCCTAAATTTTTATCATTATTCTCACGTCCGGCTAGGCTGCTCTGCTCAGAATTTGAGTTTGCTGTTGTTAATCCAGCTCGAGGCACTGATTACTCTGAATCTATTTGGACAGTTCTTTCGGCATTTGCTCGTTCTACAATCTCTGTCAGTATGCAGCATTCCTGTGCTGGGATTACAATGCATCTGACGATTGAAATAGTTACAATGCTTGTGCAGAATCAAACGAAAGCAGTCGTGTTATTTAGTTTATTTAGTTTGCTTAGGCTAAGGAGACAATGGACGTAATGTAATATTTCACCAAAAGTAGTGCACTATGTTCCTGTTTGTAGATGCTGAAAACGGCTTCCACATTTTACATTCAATTGTAATGCCTTACGCTTTGTCCTCCAGGGACAAACAGTGAGTGCCATGGTGAGCGCTAATTCAGTTACCTTACTTGGAGTGTTGATTGCTGCGATATCTCCCTGAGTAATTTTTTGGTCAGTTCCGCATGATTCGCAATTATGGCTAAGAGAACCTCAGCCCTAAAATAAATTAGTCTGTACGTCTTATTGTTTTAGTTAGATGATGTTTTATTTCATATTTCTAAGTGCAAATGAAACTGCCTAATATGAATTAACTGATTTAACACTACTCTTACTACGATTGTATTGTGTATAAGGAGTATTATTGTTTGACATAGTTGGGCATCTGCCATCTGTGAAAGCGCAGTTCGTGTTACCATATGGAAATATCAGGCGAACAAGTGGGTATTCTAGGACTAATGCGATATGTTAATACACATGTGCTCATCACTCTTTTTCCGGATGGCGTTTATACTGGCGTGCTAGTTCAAAACTTAATGGAAAGAAGGCCTACATTTTTTGAATGACTAGGGTTCACAATTTGGTCCCTAAAATTAGCAACGCTTACCACGCAAGCGTAATTTTCATCTTTGCCTCTAAATGGATGTAAAGTGCAATATATTGACATATTTTGGGACGGTTACAAGTATATTCGATATCCAACGTATACAGATTGTAACCTGTAAGTCAGGGTTACCGGTGCACTTCGTCACACAACATACATGTTGAACGGCGAAGCGTCTGTTCCTAGGTCTAAAATACTGCCACTACCTGTAGCAGATAGAACAAATAATAAGAAAATGTGTGCAGAACATTTTTCAAGCCAGATTTCTGTTATTCCTTAATCATAGTTTGGAATAGGGCGATGGATAGCATATTCCGTAATAAATATACATGAGTGATAAAGTTTTGGTTGACGAGAACAAAAATTGTAACAAAGCTTCAGCTGTATGCATTAAGAGCCCTAGCTTTCAAATCTGAAACATAGCTATCAGCGACTATCTACGTTAGCTAAAGCGGCTGCTGCGCCATACTTTCTCGTCACGGAGGCTAGTTTTGGTTTGAACTGGGGCATGATTTTGCTATGTATACAGCGGCAAAATAGCATGGCAAAGTAAAATGTATTTTTTAGTGTAATTGCGTTCAAATTAAATGTTTTTAATTCCCTCCTTAAACATGACGTTTCGAGACAGATTCTTTTCTTATATTCTCTAGTAATTCAGTAGTTCCTATTAATTGGAATAGAACCCAGTACTTTTTAATTTTTTTCAAATGATTCTACATCCAGATAACATATCATTTCGAGCACCACACTTCACATCTGCTAACTAATTAGTACTGGTTTACACGTAATTCTTGGTTTTACGGAAGGCGTCTATTAGTATATTCCTAAAGCAATACACAGATAGTCTAGTTTGTCCCGTCAGCGTTAAGTTGCGGTGCTGCGTTAAACCACAATTAATTCGTCACTATTATCTGTCCTGATTTATCTACCAAACGCTAGCCACATTTTATTTGGTTCGCGTCATGTATCGCAAGTTGTCTCTGCACTACATAAGATAATTGGCCACTAGAGTATGTGCAGATTTAACAGGAGTGCTATATCTGCCAACTAATGGAAATAATGTGCTTAGATTCTGTGCAACTTCCGTTCGACAAGTCCATTAATTCCGACGATGCAGAAGCGCAACTTGGGCAAGAGAAGGGGCGGGATGGCCCCTTCCTTACAAACAGTCCGAATATTGAAACAACACTTTCGTTTCCCTTTTAAATAATTAAGAGGTTGGTGCAACTGTTGAGTGCAATAAATGATGGTTTTAATGCTTGGGAACTGACTAAGCTGTATTCCACAAACCTACTGGTAGTCCACCCACGTTCAGTGACTCTGCGCTTGGGTGTGATGTGCACATTGGATACTGCGGGGCCAGCGAAGGTTACTTGCTTTTGACTGCAGTGGTATTTGACGGCAAGTTTGCTGAGATTAGAGGGGATATTTCACACGAGCCGTTCAGCTACCGCGACATTTGTAGTAAGACATATCCAGTTGTACCCAAAATAAAAGAGTACAGACAAAATAGTGGAATTTTTTCGTTTATTTAACTTTTGCTTCCGGAACATATCTTCAGCATGTTAACATTTTGTGGTGTTCCCAACAGACAACATTTCAAAAACGTAACATATATTTCGTTGTCACAGCTTCCAAACAAATCGGTCATCTACATGCTCGAAAAACACTAGACCACTGTTTCAATCTGTTGCGCATCATCGGTAGTTCGCATTCGTCAGCTTCATCAGGATTCGAACTCATGACCACCAGCGACTTGGGCCACCAGTTAGCAACTGGTGTGGCTTATGAATACAATTCAACAGGTGAGAAACAGCATCGAGTAGAGAAGTGATAAGCAAATGAAAATTTGCTTAGCTAAATTTTAAGTGAGTTTCCATGTACTTTCCCATTTTTCCTGCGTTTCCGCAAAATAGAGTTGAACATGAATAACGAAATCATTTAAAGCATCTCTTGCAATATTCCGGAAGTTTTAGGAACATATACAAAAGTAAATCTTTTTAAGCTAAGCGCCTGACCGTCGGCTTCAACACTGGGAGTTTAACAGAATGACGCTGCATAAACCACAGACCGAACCACATCATTGTTATCATGTTAAATAAGCTTTCGGTAGACCAACAAGCATCTGAGCATAAAAATTTGGAAAAGATTGCATCCAGTAAATATCTAATTTTAAAAGTATCTATAATTTTCATGAGCGTCTTCTGATTGTGTATACAAGCGATTTTCAGCTAATAGTCATAGTCACATCCTATGTGGCGAAAATCTGCCAATACGTTCAGCTGACCACAAAGAAACTCAGGTAAATTAGTCATAGCGTTGCTATGCTGATCGGATGCCATGTCAAATGGTTTAGATCGGGTGCATTTGCAGTGTTTCCAAGGCCGTAGCGCGGTGTGCCTCAAGCCAAAATTGTTCTATCTAGTGGGACACACGTTGACGACTGTGGCGTTTGTCAAGTAAATGATGGTGCAAATAAACGCAAGTTTAGTTGAGACGAGATTTTTCCATCTCATGCGTCAAAATGTCTCCGGGCAGGTTCAGTTAGCAAGTAGAACATGCGAAAACGTTCGTCAATAGCAGACTACTATTGCGTGCATTTTGTTGCTTGATGTTATTCGAACAACAAGCGTTAACAGTCGATGTATATATATTCGTGAAATTGTATCCACCAAAATTTTCACGACATACTACAAAATTTGAAAAATGAAAATTTCCTGCTGCTACACAGAAATTAGACAAACATATTTTGCAGATTTGGTGTCAAATATAGCGATATAATTTGTTTTTTTGTACCCTATATTTATTGACGTAAAAAGGGTAAACATAAAATTCATAATAATTGTGATATCGCTTTTGTCAAAGGTGTGTGGATTTTTGCGTTGGCCTAGGAAGCAATACTATTTTTAAACTTCTCAAAAAGTTTGGGAACAAATGTTAGTTTTAAACCTCAGTCACCTCAAGCACTGCTTCGTCATTGTAAGCCTGTTCGATGCAGCGGAAGTTCTGTGCTAGTGTTTAACACTAGAACGCCAAGAGCGGTCATTTTGACCGCTCAGCGTTTTTAAAGGTGCATATTTTCTACATTTATGGACATTTTTCA